GGGGCAAGTTGGCCCCCTGACGTCAACTGCGTTTTTTGTCAAATTGTGAGCCATCTGGCATTATATTTGAAAAATAATGACGTTGCATACGTAGCTTAGTTCATGGGGCTTACTTTGAAACCGGTTTTGTTACTCTAATCCATTCCTAGTTGGCTCTACAAGGCAAAAAGTGTCTGACTGGGCCAACTAGCCCCGGTCTCCCCTATCCTATCTCAATGAATGGATATCTATAGATATGGCTCAACGACATTAATAAAAAAATTGTAGATTATAGTGTCGCCCTTGGTTACAAAAAAGATATTGAAGGTTCATTTGCGGATTTAACGTACAAAACGGAAAAAAAGCGAAATTGGATGTTAACCACTTCCTTTGTTAAAAAGACAGGTTTTCTTCTTAAAAAATGCAGCTTTACTACTTGATCTACCCGCCCTTTTCATAAAGACTTCCTCAAGACTTCACACAAACAGACAAAAAAAAACCTTCGAAATCTTTAGGTACGAATGCCACAGTTAAAGTACAAAACGCAGGTAGAGTTGTATGCGAATTCCTCTCTGATTTCTACCACTTACATCCATCATTTGGAAAGCAGACGAGCTTTTTGAGATGTCAACGCGCGGAGGTTTATGGGGAAATACATTACTCTTTGCACAAAAGACCTTCGGGAGGATATATGAAATAACGTGAGTGTGTTGCACTTATTGACTCGAAATTCAAATCTTTTTCACATTTTTCTAACAGAGTTTTCCACATTTGAAGATTTTATTGAAATTTAAACTCGTCGTGTATTTATAAATTTTCAACATTAAAACATTCTATCGCGATTTGCAATTGTCACATAATTTTGTCTTTGTTTAGTTTGAAGCACTTTGCAGAATTATGTGTATGTTGTCAACCTTTTAATCCAAATAGAATTAATTTTTTGACCTTTCTCAACTTTACGTTCAAAATATCATATGCGTCTCATCTGATATACCCGAAAAATCTAATATAGACTTAGTTGTCGCGGCGAAGTTTTATCTTGCATATAAATAGAACTAAACATCAAGACTGCATGCATAAAAGCAAAGCTGAGTAATTCAATTAAATAGCAATATAATTTCACATCACTGATAGCCCATGGAAGGCATCATTATGAATCAAAACCACACACGCTCTTGAAGAGAATTTTTATATACATTTAAAATCAACCCTTTGGCGTAAAGGCCCGACATCCATAGAAAGTCTATATTGTTTATGTACGTCAGAATTGTTTTGGACAATACAGAAGGCGGACAGCAAACTCAATAGGCCATAAATGCGCCAATAGTAATATGCGAGTGCGTAATCTCTCCAGGTTATTCCTCTTGAATTCATTTGTCTTCATCCTGGGGGGTTCCAAAAATATTTCTCACTTTTTTTTTCGCTATTGCACGCACTTTTCTTTTTCATTGCCTTTTATTCTCTTTATCATATTTCGTTGTGTCATCCTTTGATGCCCGTCCATAATCAGAGTTGTTGGGATTAATTCGTTATCCTCTTGATATTTTAAGTTTAACAAATTGAAGATTGTCCTGGCGAATGAGACTCGATTTATTATCAGTTCATGTGCTTGTAAATATGCATTTTTCCTGTTCAGTTTGTTGTCAGTTTCATCTGCCTAATTTTTTGAAAAGTCGTCTATAAAGGCTACACATGCTAGATTGTTTTTTTACCATCATATGTGGCATCTTTTCCTTTTAATCGTCAAGTTACCTTACTTGTTTGCATGCGTGGTTCGAATCCCAGTTTTGTCAATTCCTCGCACGTCTATTTGTGGTCTAAATTGTTATTTTATGTGTAAACCCATAAAAAGACCCAAGCTTTTGGTGACTGGGGATGAAATGACTATGCCTTGATGCTATACAAATACTTCAGTATGTTTATCGTTTTTAACCAGTTAAACATGATTAAATGTTCCTTTTATTTCACCCAGAAGGAAAATAGACCACATTTACGTGTGTCGTCTGAGTCTGAAGGATTTTTGCTCTCACCCGGAACGCAAAATTCCACATATACACCAAATTTTGGTGTACAACACACCGTGGATTTTATCATGGTATTCACCTCATAGGAATAGCAAATCGCCAACATGGGTACAAAATAATGGCGGAACTTTTGGAGTACCCGGTAATCTACAACACCGGACTTAAACCATAGCAACGATGGACACACCTTATCACAATGTTACTTGGACAGCAATAACTAATATATAGACTTCTCTAAAGTGCGTGGACGCACATACTTATTTGACAATACAGGACTGTTGACTTGGGATTTAGCAAGAGAATCTGTCCCCTGTAGTACTGCTTTGACACAAGACTGATAGAACAACTAGCAGGGCTTTAGTTTTTGTTTTCGACAACATAAGAATTACCCACCGGAACCAAGCTTTTGGAGCCAACAGACGTAGCAAACAAACAGTAGAGAACGTAAACTGAAACCCAGCGTCAATTTTTATTAATTATTGCATTAAGAAACGGCGTTGGTGACATGGATCGCTACGCGACAGTGCTATTTTGTGTAGCGTCTTTATTCGCTGTTCAGACGACGTCGACGCCAGTTTCAACAACAGAGGTAAGTACGTACGGTTATCCCGAAGGTGAGGTGGATGAGACGCATTAAACTACCCCCCACGGTGCAATGCACCGGTAATTGTTATACAAGACTGTAATTGCTCATTACACCTACTTAGTCTGGCGTATATTGAAAGCGTGTGCTAGATACAAAATAATTATACATCCTTACCATTTACAGTGTTTTTTTTTCTTTTTTTCTTTTTTTTTTTTTTTTTTGAGACATATAAAGATCCCTAAAACGTTTTATGTTGGTTTAAGCCGGTTCTGTCAAGCAGACACTGACTTACACGACTTCTTTATTTTCTTTAAGACATAAAAGACAAACGGCTACTAAGATTCGAAAGCCTTTTTTCATTTACTAATTTTTAAAAAAACTATTTACTTCCACACTTTGCACTTTGTAATGGTATTATGTTTTTACGATTATAAGTTTTAAAATATCAAGGCGAACTTAGCTAATAGGAAAA